CTCAGCCCTGTAGAGTGTGGTGCCCGTTGTGGTGACATGAGGGCGCTGGCAAGTGAGGCTAAGTGATGAGGCAGTGATGTTGGCCAGGCGGCAGGAAGACAGGGGCAGCGGCATTTCTGGTGGCAGGATGGAAAAGGGGGGTTTAAGTTGGCACGGGGATTGTTGGCAGGTTGACAGGTAATCCAGGTGGATGTTAAATGAGGGGAGAGGGTGGGGAGGGGGGAGAGGGGGAGAGATAGAGATGGGGGAAGGAGAAAAGGGACAAAATGTTAGTGTATGAGAGACACGTTGACTTATCACTATATCTATATCTATCTATCTATCAATCAATAAATATATATGAATATCTATCTGTCTAATAACCGAATGACTGTATGATTCAATTACAGATAAATGCACAGATTAAAGAAACAATGAAATGGAGAAACAAGGAAAGAAAGACATCAAGAAGGAAAGAGATTGGACTAAAAATACGTTGAACAATTACATAAACAAATAGATAATTAAGTAGATACAAGAAACAGAAGAAGGAAGAAGAGAGAACAAAGAGACTATTACAGACATTACAAACTGTAATCTCTGAATTTTTGAGTTACTCCTCATTATTGCTTATTATCTCTATCTCCAGAGGTTTTCTTTCGCCACATCAAGGAATTAGCAAAGTGAATAACGCAGACACAACATTTTCATTTCCTCTAATGAAAGTAATTGAAAAGATCCCTTGCTGAAAAAGAAATAAAGAAAAGAAAGATCTCAGGATATTCTAAACAGCTCTTTCCTCTCTCGCAGTGCATTCAATTCTCGCCCATAATGGAGGGTCACGAAAAGGCGATATTTGTGTGGTACATTTATGAATAAACAAAAACAAAGACAGAATCTTTCCAGTCAACTAATTGAAGAATACAGACACAAAAAAATAAACATTGGGTTTAATTTTCATTTGATATTAAATTGCACTTTTGCCTGCCCTTCCTCTCCCCTATAAAAAAAGAAAGAAAGGAAAAAGATAGAAAATATTGCATCTGTTATATCACTGAAAAATAAGCACCATGAAAGAATCATAATGTCGTTCAGATTCGTAGCTAAGACCACAAGATTATGTAATATGGTAATTATTTCATTTCCATTTTATCGTCATTTCATCATCATTGTTATATCATATCATAATCTTTTCATTGATCTTATCTTCCTCTTATTAGTGTAATATCATATCATCATCGTCTTTGTTTTTTTCCTCATTACTGTTGTTTCATCATTGTCATTCGTATTATCATTCTCTAAATCTAATAATCATCAGTATTATTGTTATTCATCTAATATCAGTATTATTGTTATTCATCTAATATCATTAGTATGTTATTAATTGCTACCATCGTGATTTTTTGTGCATTTCAAAACATAAAAAGTTGTGGAAAAATGTAGTTTTTAGTTATCAATTTAGGAACCACAATTAGAATGGAAATAACAACAAAATAAAACAATAACCACCCACTATAGTAAGAAATAAAACGAAAACAAAGAAAAAAGGTAGAAACCAAAATACATGCACGCAAAAACGGGAATAAAAATAAACATTAATCGGCAGCTATACCATTAAAATCATACGCTCTCAACACACCCATTTCCACCTCCTTGCTCCCGTCTTGTGATACCGGCACTTTGGAATTTATATGCATTAGATTCCATTACCCAGTCTTGTTTGTCACACATTTATTCAAATCTAATTTTCAGGGCACATTTTCGCTTGCGCTGGCGGATCCAGGGAGCCGGTGGTGCTACCTGCATCAAGATGGCAGGCAAGACGTCGGAGCTCCTTGGAAATGCAGGGTTCGTACCGAGGTTCGGATTCTGTGTTTCGACTATACTACTTCGTATCACTGGTTCGGGTTCTGTGTTTCGAATCGACTGTTTCGTTTCGCTGGTTCGGATTTTGTTTCAATTCAACTGTTTCATTTCGCTGGTTCGGATTCTGTGTTGCGATTTAACAGTTTTGTTTCGCCGGTTTGGATTTTTTGTGTCGGTTCAACTGTTTCGTTTCGCTGGTTCGTCTACGCTGAAATAAGGGTTTGTGTAAGTATGTGTACGTGTGCGTGTGTTTATTTCTCTGGTTTTCTAATTTGGGATGTTTTATGTTAATTCATGGTAGAGAGATGCGTGTATATAGATGCGTTTATATAGATGCGCTCATATAGATTCATAAGTAACATCCCTGAATAGGAGTCAAACCCATGTCACTTTGGATAATGCCAAGAGTAACCGATATTGAACCAGCTTAACCGCACAACTCATTACAATGATTCTGCAGAGGACATTACAAGCTAAGGGAAGGCAGTTCTATATCAGCGCACAACTGTGTTACTCCATATTACATAGAAACCTGACATTGTATTTAAGACTATTTGCGAAACCTCTCTGCTATTACCCAAGCATGAATAGATGCATAGTGTAATTCCTTGTTACGGAGAGAAGTTATACTTGTGTATAATTATAAGGATAAAAA